GTGCGGCTATAAACGTCTGTTAAATGGAATGATGAATTGTTGAAGGATTTTGAAAACGGAAAAAATGATAGTCATGCCGGCCCAGCATCCCCAACGTTGAAAAATGCCCCAGCACGAAGTGGTTAAGAGTTTTATTGGGTGTGATCATTCGATCAGCACAATCGTGTGATCGCATTGTGCTTGAACCTGTATGAAATTGCTGACTTTTACTTTCCTCTTTCAAAACAGTCTTTCAAAGCTGTGAATTAGAATTGAAAGGCAACTGGCTGATGGAAGAAATATTGGCAAATCCTGCTTTAAGTCTGACAGCTCTTGCAAAGATGGAGCAATCATGCAGATTGACTGATCACACCCAACATTTGCATTTCTGAATCAAAAAAGCTATCAGGTATTCAGCAGAAATTTGCAGCGTGCAAGGTTATTATCTACAAAACATGATCTGCAGATTTCAGTATTCTTTAAAAATATTTGTGTGGTCACACTGGCTCTAAAGGTTCCTTTTTTTTCAAACTGACTGAGAGACTGGTTAGAAATGACAGTAAGTTGGCATGAAAGTTCAGATGCATTCACCTATAATAGGTTTTTCGATATTTTGTATAGCAACCATTGGAAGTTACCAATTTTCATCCTATGCAAGTTCAGTTACGTCAAATGAAACTTAATGTCATCAACACCAGGGATAATATCGTGGATTTTTTGTCCTTCTCTGAAGAGCCTATGAGACATCCAAGCTGTATCGCGATCTGAAGTTGAGAGGTGCCATTGTTCACAACAAGAACCTCCGCTTACTGCCCCTGGAGCAAGTGTACGACAAAGTCAATGGCGTGTGGAATCTCTCCAGTGACCAGGTAGGCAGCAAGAGCTGCGCTGTATCATGTGCAGCGATGCAGCGATGTGTTGTGTGCCATTTTGGGGTCCTACGTAGCTGGAGGATGTGAGGGGATGCAGGAGTATTCCTAGCAAAAGTGCATCACAGAAGTGCAGCCCCTCACTGGCAAAGACGAGACAGGACGGTGGGAAATTTATCAACTGAGCTTGTGAATGCTCCCTGATCAATGTGCGAAGACCTGTATGTTCAAACAGAAATTGGTTGCATGTTCAGCATGGCCAGTGCCAACTGCCCATGAACCCATGTGCACACAAAGTGAGTTCACCCAATATTTTCATAAGTTACAACAACTTCAGTGTATATGTAAGTGAGTTTCCCGTTTCTCATTGAGAAAACCTTGGAATGAGTCGTACGCATTTTAAGATTTTGCTTCTTTTTTTTTTAAGGGTAACTTAGGCACATTCTACATCACCAATGTACGGTTAGTTTGGCATGCCAACATGAACGAGTCATTCAACGTCAGTGTGCCGTATCTTCAAATGGTGAGTCGGACATTAGGGTATGGTATTTGAAAGCAGAAATGAAATATTCAGTGTCAAAGTCTTTAACTTAATAATTTAAAAGTTGCAGATTACAAGTGTACATAATAAAGCACATCTATATTTATACCAAGTTTCAATAAAAATTGCTCTTGCAGTTCATTACATTTGACTTCCGATTGAATTATCACTTTTGTTGCAGAAAAGTGTGAAGATCCGAGATTCTAAGTTTGGGGTAGCGCTCGTTCTGGAATCTTCTGTGCAAGTAAGTTGGACGTCAGTCCCTGAGCAACCCCGAGAACCTTAAGGACACAGCGACAGTGTGGTAGAGCCAAAGGAATATGTAAAAGTGCCTTAGAGGCAGCTGCCAAACAAACCATATCTTAGCATGGAGTACTGGCAGAGATCAATAATGTTAGTTTTCTTTGGCCACCCTTGCCTCAATGTTGCTTTCATGTCCTAAATTCAGCAGAATCTAGCAATGCTTCATGTTTGTTTCACCGACAGAGCGGAAACTACGTGCTGGGTTTCCGCATCGATCCCCTGGAGAAGCTGCACGAGGTCGTCAAGGAGATCCAGAGCCTGCACCGTGTCTACAGCGCAAGCCCCATCTTTGGGGTGGAGTTCGAGACTGAGGACCGTCCTCAGTCCCTGGATGAGCTGACCATCGAGAACCAGACAGATGACGTGGACATTGTCACTGAGGATGAGCAGTCGGATGCGTTTGCAGTGAGTTTGACCAATGATGACCACTTTAGTAATCCCTGTTCCATTGCAACATAGCACATCACTGTGTTGTATATGTGCATTAGCCAAAGACAGGTTTTTTGTATCCAACCAGTGTCCCCCAAAGTAATTCATTTCGGGTGTCAATTCATAAACCTTGACAGAGGGCCCAACATTTTTATCAATCTTTTGCCTTGGAGAAAGAGCTTACAATAATTGAAACTTTAGACCCTTTAACTTTCAAGCATATGAGTCAGGTCTCTCTAGTCCATTTACATTAGCTTTTTTGTTATCATTTTGAATCCATAGGCATACTTTGCCGATGGTAACAAGCAGAAGGACAGGCCACCAGTCTACTGTGAGGAACTTGGCCTAGCCATTGAGAAGCTCAAAGACGGATTCACGCTTTCTAACCTGTGGGAGGTCGTGGAACAAAAATAGCTAGGAAGTCTTTTCAAAGAAGACAGGGCACTTTTGGCTCCAGCATCTCGGTGTGCATTTAAATGTTCAAGGAGAAACCTTTTGAGTAGGTTTTTCAACTCCATGGAGTAGATGACTTTGAAAATGAGACTCTAATGAGTCTCTAGTCTGAGACACCACAGATATGGGGGGCTTGCGTCTGAACAAGCAAGGGCAGTGTTTTACCAAGCAGCGACCTTCCCTGGTGTGGCACATGACAGGAGCGTGTGCGTATTTGTGCATGTCTGGCACACTGAATGCTTCTCTATTTGTCACCGGTAACCGAAACCCTTGATGCAAGGCTTAGTCGAAAGTACACCCATACCTGCACTTCCTCTGTTGGTGTTTGTTTCATAGACAGGTTGCACTACATGTATTTAGCTGATTACTCTTGTGTTTTGAAGTATCTGAACATCACAAGGATGATGTTACAGCGGAAAGAATATATTTTTTATCAGTGTTTATATTAAAATGTATATATTTGAAGATTGGTTTGTAAAATGGTAGAGTGAGATGCCCTCAGAGTGTATTGTGGAACAGGCGTGAATGGCTTGTGTGTAGTTCATTGTTCGAGAGAAAAAGTTGTTTTTTTTTCACCTTCCATTCCATGGTTTGCCACATGTAACCCAAACAAGTGTCATAGGTTGGTAGTTGCTGTACGTACATCTACCCGAGCTCCAGATCTTGAAATGGATTGATGCACAATATTGAGCAGGAATTTCTTTTCACACCTGTGAGCACAAACTCCTACTGAGTGAAGAAAGTGTAGCAGAGACTCACTTTCTCAGATTGAGTCATACATGTAGATACACTTTGCTAGCATTGTCTTGTGGGGAGTTGAGTCACAGTCTGCATGGTTTTTGAAGAAAAACATTTCGGCTTATACTGCCCAGGTTTTTGTTTCAAAATCTAAGTGGGTCATTGCTAAAGTGGGAATTCTGGTGTGTTCTTAGAATTATTTTTCTTTTTGCATTATCGTATGTATTCCTTTGCACACTTGTCTTATTCGGCATAATCATAATCTACATGATTCAGTCAAAAAGGCAGCAATTTTAGATAATTTTTATCTTTTGTTTTTCTTTTGTTGTATCTCATGTAAAAGAGTCTTTCGCACAACACAGAAGAAGTCAAAAGCTGCATCATTAGCAAAGCTGTATATGTACTTAAAGCAAACTGTGAATTTACATGAAGTTCTGTAATAAACACTTTGCACTGAATATTTCAATCATGACTGTTCCCTTTGAGGTGTTTTATTACTCAATCACAAGGTTATTACAAGTACAATACAGAATGGCAGAATCTTGTACAAAAATACGTGTTATATCTGGATAATAGAAGCATATTCTGGATAATTTATCATGGCAAATTTTTTGAATGATTAAAAAATAAAGTACAAAAATACTCAATCATTCATGATTTACCGGTGATTGTCACACACTTTGAAGTGAATCTGACAAAGGCTTTGTTTCAACATGTTAGGAGTTACCTTTTCAAGGTACAAAAACATAAAAAGTCACATAGCTGAATAGAAATTTAGGAGAAATAATACCTGTTTGTTCCAGTTACCTGACACATTCGCATAAAAAAATAGAGCTCTGGAACACTTGACCAGAAGAATCGCCTTTGTACACACCCTGACATGCAAAACAAACCACTCTGAAAACAGCATATGTACATTGGGTGTGATCTGTGGTTTTAATACATCTGGAGGACTGTATCATGCCTTCAAAGGATTGATGCTTATGATAGGCACAAATACTGGTTGATCAGAAAAGCAGATCTCTATCATTAAATCAATCAAACGTAACGCAACTTGACTGATTTGTCAGTCTTACACAGCTTCAGTCAGCCATGCAGGAACAAGTCATTTTTCTCTGAAACCAAGTACTAAACATTTCTCTGATGGGGATGCGGCCTCAACATAATGGTTACAAACCTCTCTTGTTAAAAACATATCTACCAAAGCCCTGTGATTCTGAAAAAAAAAATTATGACACTGCACAGTTTCAACCGTCAATGAGCAAAGCATTTGACCATGCGCAACTGGCCATTAATTTGACATCTATGACACATCATATGACGACCTCAAAAACCTCAAAACACAACCTCCTGAGAGCCATCAAATGCACCCAAGAAATGTACTTAAAAACTGGATGACATCTGAGCGAATTTCCTTTGTAAATAAAGTAAACCCCTTAATCCAATACACAGCATATGTACAAGCTGCATAATGTCCCGTAGACTTACTTCTGAAATAAAGGCTAAGAAAACTGAAGAATAGAAAATGGCAGATAGGAGCTGTTTCAATGTTGTAAATTTCAGTGTGATAAACTTCCACTTCAATAAAATACAAAAGGACTGATGCCACATCCGTTGAATACATGTACATGCTGTATGGTGTACGGGGAATGCAACTGGGGGTTCGGTTGGGCCAAATGGTGATATGTGTACACAAAATACGATGAATACTGCTTAGCTTTTTATGCAGGGGGGGGATGTTGAAAGATACAAGAAATCATATTTCTAAAACAAGCAATCAATCTTACACAATGAACTTAGTTCTCTTTTCACAATTCAAACATTTCGGAATTTCATTCCTGGCTCTTTTTTTTCATTGTAATTTTCAAAAATAATCTGATCTCACATTTCTAGAAGTATGGCAACGTTCAAGCAAGTATTGGCAGTGATGTGTCCACCAACGATATTGACAGCAATGTACAGTCTAAACCCACTCCATGAATAAATAACTTACACAGCGTTGAGCTCTCATTATCTCTAACGGCACGCATTTCTATCCCTGTTCTTCCTCATGGACAACTCTAGTCAGGGACACCACACTCTCAGATCTAACATACTCCTCTACCCTGAAATCCTCCCCTTTGCCAGTGAACCCCTGCGCCCGTTGCCGTGTAAGCCCCTCCCCTCTCTCATCTTCACCGGCACACTCCTTCTTGTTGGTGGCCCTGTCTCCGCCATATTTCTCGCTCTCTTTTCCTCCAGGAAGACCGCCGCTCTTTGTCTTACGACTGCCCCTCTTTTGCATCACTTTTGTTTCACTTGGGCCTTTCTGTCCATTTCCTTGCTGGCTTTTGTGACCGACACACTTGCTCTGTTCACTCACATAGGACTTCTCACATGGAGAAGAATCATTTGGAACTTTAAATTCCCTTTTGCTCTTTTCTCTCTTTTTCCTAACAGCATCATTTTCATTTTCAATACATGTATTTTCATCACCTTTTTTCTCTCCTACAAACTCCTTTTTAAGAGTTTCACTTTTTTCACTATCACTCATTCTTTCATCTCTGTCTGCTCCTTTCTGTACACTTTTGTCTTTGGATTTGCTCTTATCCATTTCATCATCATCCTTCCTTACATCCTTCCCCTTAGCAATGCTATCCCCGACCTTCCTTTCCTTCCAGGTCTCTTCTCCAGCCATTCCTTGATGGTCAGCCAACAAATTTTGGTCTTCAGTCTCTGCTCTTGCCTTCAATTTCCATGACGATTCCTCCATCTCTTGACTGACAGCCAACAAACTTTGGTCTTCACTCTCCTCTCCTGTCCTTGGTTTCCATGGCGACACCTCTTCCCTCCTCATCCCTGCATCCCCATCTTCTTGTGCTGTCTTGAGACATACATCCAATGTATGGTCGTCTTCAGTCTCCTCCCCGGTCTTTGCCTTGTGTGATGCTTCCCTCTCTAATTCTGCTTCTTTACGCACTCGTTCCATCTCTAATCTAAAATTTGGGACGCAAATTACACTAAGCATGTTACAGAAAAATTGGAAAGTATGTTTGGACTTGTTAACAGTCTTGTGTCTGAACTTATGACTGATGATGTTGTGTTCATCTGGTGTTTATCATACAGCCTCCATCCACAACACTACAATAGATACAATGATATGATAAAGCAGGCTTTACCTGAGCCATAGTGGTGTGTGTTTTCTCTTGCCTCCAGAATCCTCTGTAACATCTGGCTCCTTTCTACGAACACTCTCCTTTCTAATAGGTTGCTAGCATGAAGGTGGGTGCAATGACAGTGATGATGATAGACATGAATATTTTTTATATGCATATATATGAATTGTTCAAGCAACCCTCTTATTGCTGGTAAATGTGCAATGAATAATTAGAACTGCATCGGAGGATACATGATGTGCAAGAGACCATGTGCCTTAACAAATGAAATGAGATGTTGAAGCCATGTATACTGTATGACCTTATTTTCTGATAGGAAAGAAAATTTGAGATTATTTTGTCAATCACACATGTAGGTAAATAACACAAAAGTTGTCTAAATTTGTGTCACAAAAGCAACCATCCAGGATTGTGGCTAAATTTTGATAATGCAAATCTGTTTCGACACTTCAGCAATGGCATCAATATTTCACATAAAAAAAAGCAGAAAGGTGTTTGACACGTTAAACTACACTGTATGTGTTATAGCCCAATGTCTCTCTCTTATTTTGTATAGCTCTATGATATGTGAATGGCATGAATAGTGAACACTCCACAAAAACTCACTTCATTTTTCTCTTCAACAAATTTTCTTGCTGCTTCACGATCATCTGCAAATTGAACACAAGACAGAGTGGGTTCCTATTATGTCTCTTTTAATACTTTTTTCTCATTATTAGTAGAGATATATTACATATGACTGGCCTCAACTATTTGAAGAGTGAGCATGTTCCTTTTAAGCAAGTTGATGTTCATGATATTTAATTTTTCTGAGGCGATTTTCTTACCATTTTCTTCAGCACAATCCCAGGCATGCTGTGTGTTCAATATGGCATCCACGTGGTGGGAAACATGGGCTACTTTGCTCTGCCGAATGAGGGTCAAAACGCAGAAACGTTAGATGGTGCAACTTTTGCATCAGTTTTGAGATAAATGGCTAAAGTGCTCACATAGGAGGATACATAAGCCGTATACTTCGCAATTCTCCAGCAGTCTTTCAAGTCAACATAATCCTCAATTACTTACATTGGGCAACTTGCTTTGAGAAAGATTCCACTGTGTTCAAACCCTCATGCCTTCTGAATTTTAGAATTTTGTTTTTCCTTTTGTGATTTTGTTCATATTTGCTCAGTGCTCTGAAATGTATTCATGACACAAAGCTAAAATCAAAAGTGAAAATGTATGACTTACATGTAATTGTAATGACCCCAGAGTTGATGATACAGTATGGAAAACCCCAGTTATTCTTCACAAAATTCATTCGAAAAATTGAATAACAGTGCGTGTATATGAATTGCAGAAAACTTACTATGTCAAGGCGTTCACTTAGAATGAGATGTGGGCGGTAGCGATGCACACTGTGAATCTTGTCCACTGAAATTTGATTCTTAAATTATTGGCATGCAGCGGAGACAAAAATTGTTGAAAAATGTTACTATATGATGGCATACATATACATGTAGATATTCCAAAGCACACATTGGTGATGGTTAAAATAATAGCAGGCAAATGGGTTTTGCCGACAAGAACCTTGTGAAGTGATTTCACAATAATGAGAATCAGTCCTGTAGTTTCAGTCCATTTAATCCTCATAGAGTTAATTGTTTCCTGACCATCTCACAGTTGAGGGGGGCAGAAATTCTCGTGGCAAAATAGGTTGTGAGAGCAGCATATCTGATTTTCAAAGTTGATGTCATAATACTGGAAAAAATAGTAGGCTTGGATTGAAGAAAAAAATCACACTGTGATGATGTTGGAGAAAATATCTCAGGGAGTGACGCTCCTGTCTACCCTAGGTAAATTTGGGGTTATTAAACACATCACATATCAATAAGCCCCTCCCCTCCCATTACCCCACCAACAGCAGACCACACGATATACTGACCAGTGTTGTCTGAGCATTCTTTGTGATGCGATCAATCTCAGAGCCTTTGACCCTCGACTTGATCCGGCTGTTCCGGGTCACCCCTGGCGACACCTCAGGCGTCATTTCCTTGCTGTCACTGGGTGAGGCTCCTGGCCCCATCTGATCCTCTGTGCCCTCACCTGCTTGCTCGTCATCAACTGACTTCTGTTTGGCATTCTTCTTCTTCTTGTTTGCTTTCCACTGCTGTTCCGCTGCTTGAAGATAACTCAGTTCTAATTGCACCTTGATTTCAAATGGCAACATTTATATGAGAAAAGTGTGAAGTCAATCTGGCACAAACAAATGATCCACGCATCTACCTCTTCTCTCCAGTCATACACACACAACTATTTGCTGAAACCATTCAAGCTCACTTGCTGACGAAACTGACACAGTTTTCCAAAAGCTGATTTTGATCACACTGTAAAACATGCATTTTGAAAAAACAGTCTCATTAAAATAGAAAACCTATATTTATACACATCCCTTTCTACATGTGAATCTATCTGCAAGCTTTTCAACCCAATCGGACATATACTGTACATTTATTTCAAAGATATGGTGATTTAAAGGGTGGACCTATAAATATAGACGAAGACGCATTCTGTCCTTATTAAAAGCACGACGGTTTGCAAAGAGCTGTTGACAGTCCAAAACTGAGACACAAAGCTTGGAACCTTGAGAGTAAGTGGCTGACTTGATCACACTGGCAGGTTCTGTTTTTTCCAAAACAGATTTTCTTCAACCTTTCAATTCAAGGTACACGTAGATTTATAAATAAAAAAATGTTACCGTTAGTATTATTATTAGAAAAACAAACATGTTATACCAGTCTGTCAATTAACAAGCATCCTCACAAGCAAAGAAGAGACATGCTGCTACTGGGAAGTTGTCTAACCAAACTTGTACATGCATACATCAAACAGAAAGGCGTTGCACATTGTCAGTGTGTCATGCGGCAACTGCTCATGAACTTGCACCGGCACATGATGAGTTCCCACTAAACACTAGAGGCGCACACCACAACTGGGAGACTCTCCTTAAATTTGGAGAAGTCCCTTTATTTAGAGACAAAACCAGCTGATCCCCTAAAAGAGAGAATGTCTGAGGGGGCGGGAAGAATTCCATATATGAAGTTCACTGTAATATCACGTAATTACTACAAAAGTATCCTTACTTTGATCGCTGAATGAAGACGATTCCAACAGGCATTGAAGAGCTGAACATCATAGGACAGAAATGTGGAGTTTTGGGCACACTTTTGGAGCTACACATGGACCAGGTTTACATTGACAGGCGGCC